CTTTGTCTAAAAACCACTGGAAGAAAGAATGCTGAGTAGAAAAATGGGTCAAAGAAGTTTCATTTTCTTCAATGATGAGAAGCAATGCTCACTACCACCTGGAAATAGAATTCCTTTTTTAAAACAAAGAACTCAAAGTAACACATGTGTGTTATCACCTGCCCTGAACAGTTAGGTACAGGCATTATCCTCCCCTTAGCACTGGGGCAGAACAGTTCTAAAAAACTTCCCTGCAACCTATTTCCCTACTAGGCAATAAGAGGATGGTATCCAGAACGGTATAAATTGTAAAACTTCCAAATATGTCCAACCATGCTAGTCTGCAAGCTCGCCAGCTAAATTACAGAAGAGTGAGCTTTTTTTATTGTCCACAAAAATAAAGTTATCCCCCTTAAAAAGCATCCCAATAGCCTGAAACAATGGCCAATCTAACAGAACCAGGAGTCACAACTTTTTTTTTTTTATTATTTTAAAAAGCGGCATCTCGTTGTTGGTTGGTTCGAGCGCCCTCATGTGTCTCAGCAGAGTAATGTCACTTAAGGCCTTTCAAAGGGCTACAGGTAATGACAGATTCAAGGACACACATCCCCTCTCCGTTCTTGTTCCACCTTGTTTCAGGTGCCTTTTGTGAAACTGCAGATTTGCAGGTCGTCCCCTAGGACTACGAATTTGTCCTCCCAGATGTAAAGCGACATCATAACTTATACCTGAAAGAATGGGGAGCCAACGTTCACAGAGGTGGAGGCTAATTTCAACTTGTCTGCTCTGGTTTAAACATGTTCGGTCATCCTGCCTATTTCTTTTTCCTCCCCCCACCCAGCCTGAGGGGTACTCTAAGGCTGCATACCCCCTCCTCCAAGGTGGTGCTCACACAACTGAAGAACCCAGAGCTACCTCTACAATGAGCAAATCTCAGGAGACCTAGCTCCATCGTCCTCTCTAGGACCAGGGGCAAGCCATTCTTCTCTCTCTGGGTCCTGGGCTCTTCCTCTGGGAAAAGAGGAGAGCGGGTCTTTTCTCACAGATAAGAGGCATCTGCAGAAATGCCTGGCAGAGAGTAGATAGGTACCCAGTAAATGTTAATTGAATGCAAACCTATAAGCTCTATTCCAACCCACTTGACGTATTACATTTCCAGAAAACAGATATTCTTCCTCAAATACAACATTCGTGCGTTAAGAACTAGCTTGGGAATTCATGAAGAACAGAAAAAGGTCAAACATTTCTCTGCATTTCCCACAACACCTGACCTAGTGCCAGGCACTCAGTAACCCTCCATAAACCACTGGGGGTGGCAGGAGTTTGACCCTTTCATGTAGTTTCTTTCTTTCTTTGGCAGAGTTTAAAGAAATCAAAGACAAATAAAGAGGCAAAGATTCATTCAAGAATTTGAGACTGACCACACAGAACACCTGGTATCTTTATATAGGATGAAAATAATACCCTCCCACACACACACACACACACACACACACTTCTTCCTCCTTTTTCTTGAGGTTTCTTGAGCGCAGCCAGGGTATCATCACCCAGCCTTAGGTGTTGGCAGATTCTCCCACCCACTTCTTTGCACTTTCCCTGCTTGGGGGCAGCAGCAAAGCCTCCCCTTTCTTCCCACCCACTGCACCTGGGGCACCTCCAACTCACACAGTCAGGCTGGGGAAGGTCCCTCATCTACCGGAAGTATAGTCAAGTCCTTTGGCCAGGTCAGTCTACTACGTTAACAGAAGCCAGAAAGTGCCTGCCCAACAGACATGCTAGATAATCTTGTCAACCATAAAAGCCATTCCCAATAAAAGCTGGGGTGGTAAAAGCTCTGATGTATATTGTCTCCATTATCATTAATCTAGGAGAAAGATTTTGTTTTTTGTTTTTTTTTTCCCAAGGAGGTTCTTAGAATACTTGATAATTTCCTTTGTATTTAAAATAGCTCTCATATTTTTTCTTCTCTTCCTTTCCCACCGCTACCATAGGTGTCCAGGACCTTATTGTCACAAACTAGTATTACTAACTAGTTTTATAACCTCCATTCTTTTCCTTTTTTTTAAACTCCATTCTTTTCTTCCTCCAAACCATCATAAGTCTGACCAAAAGATCTTCCCCAAACACTAACTTCAGTGCATCCTCTAATAATTCCTAGTCAAGAATGCTTAATGACTCCCTGTTCCTGTTGCTTGCAGGATAAAATTCAAACTCAGAAATCTGCTGCTCACACTCCTCCGTATTCTCTCATACCACCCAGGAGAGTTGCAAAAGAACCAGACATCACCCCCAGAGTTCCCAAGACTCCTCCATCATTGCTATATCAAAGGCCAAGATAAGAGTACAATGATCGTGAACATTCAGAGAGCCTTGAGCTGCCATCTAGGTACGAATGCCCAACATAAACTTTACAACTGTTCTTTGGGAAGAAACATTACATTGGGCATTTCTCCTTAGACCCCAGTTCCCTTCTGTGACGTTCCCAAGTGCTCTGATGCTCATGCTAGTTACATTCACACCAAAGTGGCTGGCCGCTGTTGGGTTTCTTCAGTTGACAGCTTATCTGTCCTTGTGAAACACTTCACACACCCGGCAATGAACCTCCAGGCACGTGACTGTCAATGAGTGAAATAAGAAGGAATAATAAATCAACATCAGAGAAAAGACAAAACACATCCTGACACTTGTAGGACATTGTGTTTCGGTGGATTCCCCCAGATAATGGGGGAAAGAATGTGGATGGGAGAAATCATCACTCTACACCCTACCAAGCCAGTAGGCCAACATGGGGAAAGGCCGACAGGGGAAACAACCAGGGCTGCCTTGAACAATGAGAGACAGCTAAGGAGGTAGAGAATGCTGAGGAACAGAAAGCAAGATCCTCAGGAGGGAAATGCATGCATCTCTCCTCTTGTTCTTCTTCTAGAAGAGAACACTGAACTATTATATTGCATTGCCATCTGTCTACCTCTCCTGCCTAAAGCAAAAAGGACAATCTCTGAGCTTCCCAGATATGAACTTTTTAAAAAATGAAATAGTCATAGCTTTTTCCCAAATTCTTTCAAAGCAATAACCACAGTTCACATCTTTCCCACACTGACCCTTCCTTGAAGCCCCTTCCATGAAGCCTTCCCCACATCTCTACCCAGTGTTGACCAGGACCTTCTCTTACCATCCAAGGTCCTGACATCCTGACCCTTCAGGAAACATGACTGAGGTTGACCACCTTTCCAACTTGACTGCAAACTCAACAACAAGAGTCCTTACTTTTCCTTCTCCTGTATCTCTTCTCTGTCACCCTCCCCCGCTCAGCCCCCAGCACCCAGCCTAGAAGGTACTTGAGAAATGCCAATACTGTCAGTTAATCTAAATTGAAATGTACTTATTCTTTAATGAAAATGTGAAAATTCCCTTCCTTGCCTTTAGATATTTCCTTTATCCTTTATTTCCTCCATCCTTTTTCTAGCAAACTTCATGCTTCCCAAACAATCCTTTTGTGCAAGTGGGGCGGGGCTAGAATCACTCAGCACGCCCACTCCCCTCACACATCCAGAGCTGAGTCTTGGTTTGTGGTTAGTAGAGTTGGCATTCTTTCTTCAACCTTTGAAGATTTGGGGATCTAAACTGAAACCACTGTCTCTGTTTCTTTGCAAGATCATCTTGCTCCTGTCTCTGTGAATCTCCAATGGCCCTTTCTTATTTACGTCCTAAAATTTTGTAAAGGTTTTCTTGCTTAATCCCTTCACTTCACGCCAGTCCTTAATGCAATGCCCACTTTTTTATTTTACCCTGATAAGTCCTCTCCTGGATCATCAGCCTCCTTCACAAGCTGGGGACATAGCTCAGTGTTGCCAGCTTGTAAGGAAATACGAGCTTCTACACTAGGCATGATTTCTGATGCCACTGTAACTTCCCCATTAAGTCTACAGCTTATCAGTCTTCTCTCCTACACATTCTGGTCTTTTCCTATTCCTCCTTCCCAGTCCTGCCTGCCCCCATACTCCCTCCCCGCCCCCAAGAAATGAACTGGTTTACCTAGCAGGTTTAGACTTGCTTTGGCCAGCTTATTGTTTCAATGTGATTATGAAGTCCCCGGCCTTGAAATCACAGTTTGTTAAGTTCCAGGCATTTCCAATGTCTCTCTGTTGAGCCTGGAGGTGTGCATGTGTGTACCTATGGTAGCTAACACTCCTGGAGTTTGCGATCTTGCCGGTGACTAAAAAGATGGACTCGAGGTTAATTTGTGTTACTGGAGAATCATAGTTTTAGAGATGTAAGTAATTCTAGACTCCAACGTGGGCATTTCTCAGATCTGAAAACAGAGGCAGAACAAGGTAAAAGGACTTAACCACAGTCATAGAGAAAGTCAGTAGAGGAATTGGGGCCACAGCTCAGAGCCGTCCTATGCCAGTCCATCAGGGCCCTTCCACTCACATATGTCCCTCCTCAGGGGCTCATATATGTGAGTGAGAACTCTGGATGCCCAGATGCAACCAGAGTGCATCCCAGACCCGTATGTATGTATCAACGAGATGGGGACAGTGCTGTGCGTGTAACTTACAACACGGACAGTATGCTGGAAAAATCAGACCAAAACTGCTACAAAGAGGTTAAATTAGAATCCAAAGAGACCACATTCCCCATCCTGCCGATGCTGCCCCCCGCCCCCCCACGCCAGTAGCTCATTAAAAAAAAAAAAAAATGGATCTCCCAAAGCACCTTGTTGAGATTTTCATATGATTTTTCTTTAGTTCAATCAGTACACAGTCATCCCTTAATTCAGTGAAAATAGCTTTTCACACGTCCATGCACACACTGTCACACACACATGTAAAACATTGGCAGCAGGTACTTTTAATTTGCTGGAAAATATTTCTAAGAAGTCAAACAGCTCCAGCCCAATGAGCGTGCCCTCCGATTGGCTAGCCAGACCAGTTGAGGGACCTGATTGGTCCCTGATCCTAAGGACCGATAAGAACGGCTATAAAATCCCTGGGTGCAGCTCTTGGGCCCCCAGTTTGCAAAAGCCAGAGGTGCAAGAAACAGCCACTGCAGCAGGAGCGGCAAAAGCGTCAGCAGGAGCAGCATCAGCAGCAACAAAAAACCCTCATCAAATCCTCACCTAGGCTCTCAGTGTATCCAGATCCACATCTTCACTCAAGCCGGGAGAGGGAAAGAGGAAAGGGGGGGAGGAAAAAAAAAAAAACCCAACAACTTAGCGGAAACTTCTCAGAGAATGCTCCAAAACTCAGCAGTGCTTCTGGTGCTGGTGATCAGTGCTTCTGCAACCCATGAGGCGGAGCAGAATGATTCTGTGAGCCCCAGGAAATCCCGGGTGGCAGCTCAGAACTCAGGTAAGCGGCAAACCCAGGACCGGTTTCTCCCCCAAAGAGCTGTCCTCATTTGCCTCTCGCTTTTGCAACTGTGTCTATGACGGCTGATCTTGATAATAAATGTGCTTCATGCCTGATGGCAATAAACTGCCAGTGTAATCCAATAGCCTTAGGAAGTGGAGCTCCTTTGTTTAATAAATTGCATGCAACTAACGAAGAAGCTGGGCGCTCTGCTGAGGGTATTTCATTGCATAAGCCTAGCCTGATTGCCTGAAATCTGGCACGTACCCTCTTGGGGGGGGGGGGGGGAGGGCGGGGGAAAGGCTTGAATGTTGGCATGCTTCAAAGCGCTCTCTATACTTTCCAGAAGCTGAAGCTGATCTAAAGGTGAGACATGATTTGTCAGATGCTGCTCCCCTTCCTTCACCCTTAAGACCCCATAACTGGACTTCCCTGACCCTTCAGAGAGCACACAGAAAGCTCCCTCTGCAGACAGATGGACGGAACCGTAGCCCTCAAGTCTGACAAATCCCAGGCAGATGCAGAGAAAACCCTACACATCCCACCCCTGACACTGCTCCTTCTCCTCCTCCCAGCTTCCTCATGCTTCATTCGGCTGCCCGTGCAGCCCCAGGCCAGAGGGACCCTCAAAAAAGAGTATTTGTGAAACGTAGCAGCAGTTTCTTCGAGGGGAAGGTGTCAATCTGGTTCTGACTCCCAGGGCAGTTAATTGTGTATTATCTTGGCCTCTAGAGGACAAGAGTCCCTAGGAAGCCGGTACTAACACCTCTGCCTTTTGACTTCACTTGTCCGGCTTGCTCCTCTAACATTGCTGCCCCTACCCCCCCAACTGTCAGCCAAGATGAGATCGCAGGTGTCCAAATGCTGCAGACAACCCTCCCCTGCGAAGAGCACAGGTCCCTGCCTAGAGGAGGGCTTTGCTTCACTTCCTTTTGTACTTAGTTGCTATAGAAATGCAGTGATTCACAATTCGAGCTTGCCTAAAACAATAGCAACCCTAATGCATATTAAAACTGCTTAAAGCAAAGTTATAATTTGAACCCGTGGAAATATATAATTAGGGAAATGACTTGTAACATCCCAGAGGCTGCGGGTGGTGGGAGGGGGAGGGGAAGCCTAACTGAACCACGCTTTTGATCTCAGAGGAGAATCCTATGGTATGAAGGCTGCAGATCATTTCTTGCCGAGCTGCTTGCCAGAACACCCCCCTTCTGAAGGAGAGAAATTACTTTTATGGGAGATCTTATCCAGAATGTAGAAAGCCTCATGCAAGTTCTTTGCGGTTTTTCTTCCAGTCTTGCACAAGGGGTGCCTTGGCCTTGTTATTCCACACCTGTGTTTCTCTTTTAAAAAAGAAATGGCTTTTAATATAAGAGAGATTATGCATACCTCTAAGCACTGTCCTATGGTGGGGGTTGGGATGAAACATGAATGGACCAGATCCCTTTCTGCCAATGGGAAGGTAAGTTAAAAGCCCTAAATCGGAAGGGTCTCCAGATGAACTCCTGGCAAATTCTTCTCTGCCATTTAGGCTAAAATTCCATTCTTATTACTCTGGAGTGCATTTTCGGAAGCCAAATGGACTCCCTGGCCCTTCCACTTCCTAAACTTGCCCACCAGCCATCGCCTCCTGTCTTCCTATGCTTTCGGGCTCTAAGGGATGCCCTTTGATGCTACAGAGCTTCTTCAAGCACTTGCATTCCGCAGATTCTGCCCTTCTCCAGCCACCAACATTGTATGTAATGGTGAGACCAAGAGGGAAAACTCACGCCCTCCCTCTCCTTCCATGTGCTCTTGCTCTTATAAGGCCAAAAGATCTGCCTGCCCTACTCTTTCCACTCCTACCCCCTCTGAACGGGTCCCTCTACTGGCCCCATGGCAGACGTCTAAGATATGCTCTTCTGACTCCTTGTCCTTGAATCTTGCCACCTTGACCCCGTTGAATCACTGTCACCATTTGACCCAGACTGGGTGGATTTGTCTCTTTCAGCTGAAGTGGTTCGCTGCCTCAACAGTGCTCTGCAGGTTGGCTGTGGGGCTTTTGCATGCCTGGAAAACTCCACCTGTGACACAGATGGGATGTACGACATCTGTAAATCCTTCTTGTACAGCGCTGCTAAATTTGACACTCAGGTAATAAGACCTTGACCTTGACCCATGCCTCCCACGGGCTGCTTGTCTTTAACGCCCTGTTAGACTATTGTTCTTAGGAGCCAGTCTTGTAGGGAAGCTGCTCTGCTTCTCAGCCTCCTCAGCGTAAATTGTCAGCTCCGGTGTGTGCACGCACACACACGCACGGGCACACTAGCGCACACACGCAATTTTGGCCAGAAAGTCGATTTTACAGGACACTCCCCACCCATTCTAATGCACGAATGTACCATACTGACAGAGGCTGTCTTATAAGGGAGGGGTGATGAGCAGGAAATCTTTACCTCTTCAAGAAGAAATAAAAACGTACTTCGAACAAAGAAGTTCTTCTCACTGTATGACCTAGCATACTAGCTTGTGAGTTATCAAAGTCTCAATCCCAAGAAGACAAAGCCATTTCACAGCTATTTTTAAGCTGCGGGGTGGTGGATTATGGTTCATCTCTTTTTTTTCCCCTGTCTCGTTATTTCTGTGGAGCTCAATTCTGAAGGTAGACAAAGAGAGTGGGGACATTTTTTTTATCCTGGCTGCGGCGTACAATTTTCTCACTGCGAGGACATGAAGATGGCCATGAGACAGTGCCAAGGCAAGCCCCCTTAAGTTCCACATGTCCTCTCTGGTCAGCTCGAGCTAAAGCTTCTCCCCCTTACCCCTTGCCTGACAGGGAAAAGCATTTGTCAAAGAGAGCTTAAAGTGCATCGCCAATGGGGTCACCTCCAAGGTCTTCCTTGCCATTCGGAGGTGCTCCACTTTTCAGAGGATGATTGCTGAGGTGCAAGAGGAGTGCTACAGCAAGCTGAATGTGTGCAGCATCGCCAAGCGGAACCCCGAAGCCATCACCGAGGTCGTCCAGCTCCCCAATCACTTCTCCAACAGGTACAGAATGAGTCCGCTTTTCTGCAATAGTGTGGGGGGAGGGGGGGGAGGCGGGGCTTTGGCAGAGCCAGACACAGAAGGGGGTTAATTGCCACAGTCATGATCTTATTTTAGCTTGCAGCCTTCCCAGCTTTTGCAGGAAAAAAAATATGTTTGTGATTGGTTGTGACAGCTTAAGCAGCCTGGATTTTTTTTTTTTTTCTGTTATAGAAAAAGTCTTTCCATGCAGCTAATAGAAAGCTTCATCTGCAGCATCCTTGGGTGCATTTTCATTGTCATTTCTCACCATAAGCATGAAGGGAATTGGGAAGTTTATGGAAACAAGATTGTGAGACCTCAAATTTGGCTGAAATTACGGCTATGCACGGTACAATTGGCCATTATTAAAACCCTGGTCAAATGTCATAATGCAGACTTTTAAATCTGCCTGTGTTCTGAGTCGGTCCCAAGCCCAAGCAGGTATTTCAGTAGGTGACCCAGAGTAAAGCCATGTCACTTCACTGGGACTCGGATTTCCTTTGTGAAAAGTGAAATGGCTGGACAAGATGACTCCCATGTTCCCTCCCAGTCCTATGTTATTCCTTTCTCTAATCCAAGATTTCCCAGAATGGTGTTCTGGTGACTGCTCAGTCACATTCTCATCTCAGTATTCTCACATGACCCAGAGCCACTGAACTAGTCATACCTGAGCACTGGCCTCTCTGTGCCTCTGGCTACGGTCTTTGCCAGCCAGGAGAGGGCTGACATCTCATTCCACGGCCTACAAGGTTTCCCGGCAAGACCTGGGCTTCCCCCCACCTGTGATGAAGTTAAGAGAGGCGTCCATGGGGCCGGGGTGGAGGTATGACAGGGACAGTGGAGGCAGGACAAGTGCAGCCTACTGTGACGCCCCACAGCCTAGAACTTGACTCCCAGGCCTGACGCGCTAGGATCCTTTGACTCTCCGGACAAATCCGCACTGACTGACAAAGATCAGTCCTATTGCATGTTACCCGACCACCTGAGAGCCAATACAGGCTTCCCTGGTTAATTTCCTACCAGGTGCTGCCACCCTTCTTCCAACAATGGCAACAGCCTACTCCTCCTGGGGCTGGCCAGTGATTGAGTCCGGCACAGATGTGCAACTGGAAGACGGGAAAAGTAGCTCTCCCTTCGGGAAATGCCCCTGACATTAAAACTTTGTAAAATTGCTGATCCACACTTACCTACACGTTAAGTGCTCTTCAGAACCTCATGTCAATTTATAAATTTGTTGGTTCAGTTCTTGGAAGTGACAATGGGTCCTAACTGATTTCCTCAGAATAAGAAAATCAAATCCAGCATTTATTTCAAATGGCCTATCTCTTTATATTGACCTTGTTCTTAAAATTCTCCTAAGAAGAATCTGGTTACACCTGAAGAGGAAAAGAAAAAAAAAAAAAAACAGAAAACCCAACCCTGGCTGATTGTTGGAGACTCCCTTCACCATAAGGAAAAAAAAAGAAAAGGATTCTTAGTTGACAGGGGCTAAGGACAAAGTATGTATTTGTGTGGTAGTAACTGGGGGGCAGGGGTATGGTGGCAGCACCATTATTATAAGTCTAGATCTTTAAGCATCCTGTGACAATTTGTGACTTATAGCAAATAACCAATTTGGAGGCAATATGAACCTCTCTATTTCAACTGAGGTCATATCTTCCATTATGAAGGGAGAGGTCTTGATATGATATAGATTCTGGACTGGTGATCCTAAATATCTAAGAAGACACTAGTAATAGGACTTGTTAATCCAGGCCACTATTCCTTTCAAGGGAGGGGGGGGGTCTCCTTTTTACCACCTTTAGCAAATGGTCACAAGGAGTCTTGTCATCTCCCTTTTCCATCACAGGGAAATCACACTTATTAGGAAAGTGGGGGAAAGTGGCCATCCCTTGAAGACCAGAATCTTCCACGCAGCTCTTTCTTCAATTATTTCACTTCAACTGGCTAATATTATTCCTGCTCACAACTGTAGAGATTTCCGGTTCCCTGCTGGGCTTGATTTGCTCTATTTAAGCTCCTCACTCTCCTGAAACATCCTGCTTTCCCAGCCTCTGCCCCACCACAGATACACACGAAGTTGTGCCAGTTGGCACGGAATTGTGAAGGGAAGTAGTTACAGGTTCATTCCACCTTCCTGTGACTTATCTAGCATGAGATTTGGGCCTGGGAGAATCCAAAAGCCTGTGACCGGACCAGGAGCCAGAACAGGGATGTTTTCCATGAGAGAAACACACTCAGAAGAGAAAGGAGAGCTGGATGTCCCCCCCTGGCTGAATTTACAAACTGCTCTCTCAACCCTGAGGGAGAGCAGGCAAATTGATCAGGCAAGCTGAGCAGTGTGAAGCTTGAGAAGAAATCAGACCAATCCAGATCCAGAGTGGGAAAACTGACGAAGCTTCCAGCTCTCTAGGGCATGGATAGGGAACAGGAAACAGAAGAATAATATTGATCAAGGGAAACAAAGGACTATTTATAAACCCTCACACAGAACGTTCCTAGGCAGTATGTGTGTATTTGGGTAAGCATGGCTGAAACAGTAGCTATGGAGAATATCTGATCTTATTCTTTACCAAGAAAAAAAAAAGTCTGTGAGGGAATTTTCAAAGTGGGAAAAAGAAACATGCTTTAAAAATCCTTTCAGTCTGGGTGATCAGAACCCTTAGCCCACCAAGTCCCTGCAGCACATCCCGCCATCCCCTATAAAGGTGAAGAAAGGAATCTCCTTAACTAGTTCTAAGTCTTCCTGCAGAAGATGGTCCTCAAGCAGACCTGCACCATCTTTGTTAAATTAAGAAGGAATTTATATATCAAATCCCTAGAAACACAGAATGTCATAGCTGTAGATGATTACAGAGGTTATCTAGACTAAATACCTCATTGTGCTGATTTAAAGAACAGAGGCCCAGAGAGGAAAGTGCCCCACTACAGGTCACCCAGCTAGTGAATGACAGAGCTGGGCCTAGAACGCATGTGGCCTTGAGCCAAGCCATTTGATTCTTACTTCAAAAACGGCAACCAGTAGAACCTATAGGAAATATCCACAATCCAAGCAGAATAAAAATAGAAAAAAAAAAAAAATAGAATACCAAGGAGAATTGAGTAAATGTGCCCCGTGGTGATCAACGACTGCATTTGTGTACATTCTCTTCTCAAAGAGAAGGCACATCTTACCAACAGCTATAGTGACATGAACAGTTGGTACAAGATGGTGCCTCGGTTAAATATGTGACAATTGCCAAGTCAACTTTTGCTGGAGATGCACTCTCTTAAATAATCTCACTTGGTGACTTCTAGATAGGAAAGGTCTGTCTCATTAATCCACACAATCCCAGAGGTCAGCGCCCTTCCTGAGTATTCCAGCCCTTAATGGAGAGGCGCGGTATTAAACTGTTGCTCACTCTGGCCAATGATGTGGACATCAAGGCGGCCGGACAGGTTGACAGCTTTCCCAGACTTGGAGGAGCTGCTAATGGAGCCATGGATATCTTCTATTCCAACGAGCACTCTTAGCCTGCCCTTGTTGGGTTCACAAAGCTCCACTAGAGAAGCTAAGGGTAGATTTGGGGACAGTCACTAAGGGTGGTCGGGCTGGCAAGGCCATCGTGGAGAAACACCAAGAACAGGTGTCCTATCTGGGCCAGCAGAGAAAGCAACAGGAAAGATAGAAGCCCTCAGAGAGGGAGAGTGGGGCCCAAGGGACACGTGGCCTTAAAGAGGCGAGGCTTAGTTTCCTTACTGGTGTTAAGACTTCATCATCCAGGCAAGAGCTTTCAACGTTGAGCTAAGGAGAGACCATCTTCTGCAGTTCAGTCCCCTGGCGGCAGGGGAGGGCAATCGGTTATGGACAGTTCTTTCTAGAAATGGAAGGGTTAACTTCTAAGTTATAAAGTCCTGGTTGGGGGTCAGGAGGGTGAGAGATCAGAAACCTTATTCTGTAAGATCTAATCACCCTGTAAAACAGACGCAGAGATCAAGGGGACCCATGTCCTCGCAGAGCCCAAGAGTAAAGAGGTGCCTGGGGATCTATGTGGGTGTGTAGATATCTGAAGCTGTTGGTACAAAGTAGTTTATTCTCAGTTTTTCCAAAACCATTTTTCTCCCCATTTCCCCATCCGAGTGAGATCTGCTTTGACTCATGTGCTTTATAATTCCAAAGGGTTGGAAAATGTGTTTCTGTGCCAGAGAATCCCAATTTTAACAACAGCTGGATATAATCCTCCCTCGGGGGAGGGGTAGAGCCAGGACTCTGTCCGAGACCCAGACAACGGCACTTCGCTTGGGGCCCCCAGCTTCATTCTGCTCACTCGCAGGAGGGTGACCGCTCTGCTTCATTACCCGTGTTCCACTCTGTTTACCGTACATCCTTGAAAGGACCTCTCTGGGGGGTTAAGTTATTCTGGAAGGATGTTTGATCCTGTGCTCTGTGAGGTGAGTTAAAAATAAACAGGTTTCTTTTCATGGAAGATCTTGTGGCCCCAGCGACCTGCAGGCTCCTCTGAGGAAAGAGTCTCTCCACATCAATACTGTAGGTCACTGTCATTGGGAGAGTCTCTTATTAGTGAACAGAGAGCTAATGGGTTTTGACAAGTGCCACCTCAAATTGGAAAATTACCTGAACTGTCTCCCCGATGAGCAGGACAAGGAATTCATATGCCGTCAGTATCAGTCTGTGTCTGAGCCATAACACTTAGCCGCAGCGTTCGGTTTGCCTAAAGAACTTGCGCCTCAGACAAAGGTGACTGATACCAAACGCAAGGTTTTTTTGGTAAGACTCAACCACACCTACCTCTAATTTCTCTTTCTGAAATCCTGACTTATTGGAGAGAATTATTATTTCTCAAACTCCCCATTTCCTCCGTGACCACAAAATAAATCACCAAATGGACAGTGAGCAAGCGACTAGGACGCCGGCACGTGAGGGTTACAAAGAACAAGGACACAAATCCTGCCGTCAGTAAGTTAACAGTCGAGCAGGGAATGCTGACCTGTGTGATGCTAACCAAGTGTCCGTAAAATGCTCAAAAAAGGAAGAGGCCAGCAAAAGCTAGAGCAGTAGGGGAAGACTTTGGAATTATTGAAGCAGAAACCATCAGGCACCCCCAGTCCCTCCATTTCAGGGTCCTCATTTCCTGGCATCTGGCCTTCTGACTACAATGTCCCTTGGAAGGAAGACAGAATGGGATCGGTCAATGGCCATTAGCAAGGCTAGCTGAGTGTACGGTAGGGAAGTTAAATCGAAGAGAAAAATGCACGAGACACTGAAGGCAGTGGCCTCCTTTAAAAATACAAGTCCGAAACCTTCGTGTGCCCGTACACCTGCACGCACACGGCCGAGCAAAAGGCGGACTGCAAAGATGCATCCAAATACCGGCAAATGCATGTGAGTGACTGTTCATCTAACAGTCTCCCCAGGGCTGGGCTCACTTCATTACATATTTGACTAAGTCCTGCTTCTACCACTAACCCTTCACATGTCCTCAGACAAGTCACTGCAGTTCTCCCACCTTCGTTTCTTCTTTATAAAATGAGATGATGATATATAGCCACTGAATGATCTCTGAGATCCCCTCCAGCTATACGAATGTGTGTTTCTAAAACTGTTAGACATTGTTGGCATCCGATTCTTCACAGTGTGACCTAAGTCTCCTGAGCATTAAACGCGAGAGCTGTCTCGCATCCCGTGGCAAACTAGGAAGCGTTGCATAAAAGTTAGAGCCGAAAGCCACCTTCAGCTGATGAACCATCTGGATTTGCATGGTTGGGCCACTGGGGATGGGTGTCGGCTGCAGCCCGGATGAAAGGCCAGGCCTTGCCTTGCCCTCCCTGATTGACTGTTGCATGTGCTCTCTTTCCTCAATGCAGATACTATAATAGGCTTGTGCGAAGCCTCCTGGAATGTGACGAAGACACGGTGAGCACCATCAGAGACAGCCTGATGGAGAAAATTGGGCCCAACATGGCCAGCCTCTTTCACATCCTGCAGACGGATCACTGTGCCCAAACACACCCACGAGCTGACTTCAACAGGAGGCGCACCAGCGAGCCACAGAAGCTGAAAGTCCTCCTCAGGAACCTCCGAGGTGAGGCGGCCTCTCCCTCCCACATCAAACGCACTTCCCATGAGAGTGCATAAGCAGGGAGAGGTATTCACAGCCTCGCCAGACTAGCATCATTTTAAAGGTGTTCACACACCGACTTTGAGTGTACTGTGCCTGGTTTGATTTTTTTTTTTTAAGTAGTTCCTATTTTCTATTCCCCTTCCAGAAAATTGCATGAAACGAGGCTTCTGTAATCAATATCCCAACATTCTGCAATGGCAGCATTCCCACAGACAGAATATGTGTGATCTTTCTGCCTCTCGGCAGGAGAAAATACCCTCTTTTATCACGTTCCTTCCCCAGGTCCCCTCAGACTCCTCTCAAACACAAAGCATTCGCGTAAGGCCCAGTCATTGTCATTGGAAGCTGTGGGGCCCTTTTAAGATGGTTGCCCCAGTAGAGTTAGCTGATGAGAAGCGACTTAATTTAAATGCATGTCTTAAATGCCCATAAAGGTGTTAAATGGAATTCGTGTGATGAATCTGTGCTGGCCATGGACGAATATGAATGTCGTGTTTGAATTCTTGATCTCTCATGAGCTAGTGTCTTACGGTCTTGATCCTCCAGTGTGTAATTTCCTTTCCAACACATTTACCAAATTGCTCAACCCTGGCTCTTCAACCGGGCTTTGAGCCTGCATCTTCTTGCATCTAATGAAAAACAAAAAGCTAACATCTTTATGTACTGTAACTGCTCAGAGCTTTAAAAGTATCTTTAACAATTGTCTTAAAACCAGAGAATCTTAAGGTCTAACTATGGAATATAAATAGCTGAAAACTAATGTACTGTACATAAATTCCAGAGGATTCTGCTTAAACAAAGCAGTATATAATAACTTTATTGCATATAGATTTAGTTTTGTAACTTAGCTTTATTTTTCTTTTCCTGGGAATGGAATTAACTATCTCACTTCCAGATATCCACATAAATGCTCCTTGTGGCCTTTTTTATAACTAAGGGGGTAGAAGTAGTTTTATTCAACATCAAAACTTAAGATGGGCCTGTACGAGATAGGAAAAACCAACAGGTTTGTCTGAAGGACCCCGGGTAAAATGTTAATCTCCCAGCCCACCTCAACTCAGAGGCTACTCTTGACTTCGATCTCTCCTGAAACGGCTCTGTCACATCCATCCGGGAATCACAGGAACCCAAAAGAGCATCCCTTTGGGCTTGGACCACTTACAGTGAGTGTGATAAGGCCTACTCTATCTTGGGAAGTGGCAGTTCCTGACTCGCTCACCACCTTTCATCGGTGAACCGATGATGGCGTGGGAGACTTTCCCTTAAGTCAGTCAGGAACGAGTCAGTCAGCCTTTGGGTCTTCAGTTCCGGGGACTTGGGGCTGAGGGGGTATAAAGAACCCTGGGCTGTCCAGCCTTAATAGACTCCTCTTACATTTCTGTCCTGTAGCACACTGCCTGCCAAAGTAGTCCTGGCAGCTGGGCTATCTCTGTAGGATCACAAAAAAAAAAAAAAAAAAAAAAAAAAAAAAAGACAAAAAACAAAAAAAAAGGAAAAAGGAAAAAAAAGAAAAAGAAAAAAGAAAGAAAGAGGGAAACAGAGCTGGTGGTTTGATTATTTCTGCCGTGATGTTTACAAGATGGCAACCACCAAAGCCAAATGATTAACCTATCTATGAACAACAGTAGTTTCTCAGGGTCACCGTCCTTGAACCCAACAGTCCCTTAAGAGCGTCACTGCCCACCAAAGGTCAATGTCGAGGGAGGAGGAGGGAGGAGGGGTAGGACTGTAGGGGCCGCTCCAAACTCGCTTAGGTAGAAACTATTGGTGCTTGACTCTCACTAGGTTAAACTCAAGATTTGACCAAACCGAGTGATAGGGATCCTGGTGGGAGGAGGGAGGGCAGATCTCCAGAAAAAAATGAAAAGCAATACAACTTTACCATAAAGCCTTTAAAAGCAGTAATGTGCTGCTCAAGGACCAAGAGCAATCGCAGCAGACCCAGCAGCAGTGGTACACGCACCGCTGCCTTTGTCCCCACACCACCTCGAAGCGTGCTGACATCAGATTGTTAAGAGCATTTTTATACTCAGAACTGCCCCATCCCCAGGTCCCCAAACATATGGACACTGCCTTAGCCTCTTGGAAATCAGGTAGACCAATACGCTAAGTTGACTCTCCACTCCCTGCCCTTCCCGCCCCGGCCCCCCACCCCCAGGCCAGGCTGACTTCTCCGAACCAGAAAAGCTATTCAAGTTTGTGTGTCGTGTCCGTTTCGCAAACCCACGAGGCCAGGACCCCAATGCAACAAGTAGTTCACAAGTATTCCTAGCGAAATTCTCTCTTACTTCAGTCCCAGTAGATTCTCTCTTTTTGCTGTGACCTCTTCAAACCGTGGTACCCCCCTTTTCTCCCCACAATGATACTTCTATATGTATCTATAATACATATATCTACACATATGGAAAGAAGCAGTTCTCACAATGTTGCTAGTTTTTTGCTTCCCTTTCCCCCAACCCATCCCACTCCCTCCAAACTCCCCTTTAAACTTCCAAAGCTTCGTCTTGTGTTTGCTGCACAGAGTGATTCGGGGGCTGACCTAGACCAGTTTGCATGATTCTTCTATTGTGATTTGGTTGCACTTTAGACATTTTTGTGCCATTATATTTGCATTATGTATTTATAATTTAAATGATATTTAGGTTTTTGGCTGAGTACTGGAATAAACAGTGAGCATATCTGGTATATGTCATTATTTATTGTTAAATTACATTTTTAAGCTCCATGTGCATATAAAGGTTATGAAACATATCATGGTAATGACAGATGCAAGTTATTTTATTTGCTTATTTTTATAATTAAAGATGCCATAGCATAATATGAAGCCTTTGGTGAATTCCTTCTAAGATTAAAAAAAATAATAATAATAAAAATAAAGTGTTACATTTTATTGGCTTTTTTCTCCCCAATGTCTTTCATTGTTATTCTTTGAAAACTTCTTGAATGAGACTTTCTGAATATGAAGTTAACGGCTGATTAATTTCTTTAAAGTCACAGATTAAGTGCCAACATGCAAACGAATGTAGTTTAAGCCAACACTTTCCAAATTTCCTTTCAAGACCATTTGGTGGCTCCCGTTACCCTCACAATAAAATCACAAGCCAAACTCCTCACAGACTTCAAAGAAGCTGTATGGTCGGGACACCACTCGGCTCCCCGGCCTCAAGACTCACCTTTCCTCCCAAGCAGTGAACTCCACGCTCCAGCAGCACAGCAATTCTGCTAAGGCCTGTGCTCTCTTTCCCTTCCAGGCCTTTACTTACACTGTTCTCACTTTCTAGCAGACCTTGCCCTCCACCCTGTGCTCAGACCGGAAGCACCCATGTTCAGTCACCGATGTGGTCCTAGCCCTGCAAAAGCACCCAGACGCAGGATATCCTTGATAACTTAAATGCATGATTTAGAAGGAGTTCAGGAGAGGGGAAAAAAGACAATCAAGTCAGTGTGACAAGAGAGGCAGATGGTTCTGTGGCGATGAGGATCCGGCTCTGGGGTTGGACTTGTGGGATTTGAGATCTGTCTCTGCTACTTATTAACTGCATGATGTCAGATGATTTAATCTCGAGATGCAAAGGGTGGTGATAACTATCCATAGAGCTCTTAAAATAAGTGAAGTGCTTACACGTCCAATACACTGGATTGCTCACTAAGTGGCAGCTATTACCACCCAGGAAAGGGGATGAGAGCAAAAGGAGGGAACTTCCCATCTCGAAAAAGCGGGGAGAGGATTCACAGCAGAATGACATTTATCTGAGTCTCGAAGGATGGTTATAAATTCAGTCACAGAAAAGCGGGGGAGGGCTAATGGGGTGTAGTTTTTTCAAGGAGAGTTCTTACATAGTTTGGGGTTCTTTTTTAATTGGTGGATTTTCTCTACATTGTAAATTCAAATGGGGACATTTTTCTCAATAGCCTCCAGACTGCATTTTCCCAAGTTCGGAGGGGCCCAGGACAGCTAACAAATACTTAAAAGTTGTCGCTATGAGGCCAAAACTATGTTGAATTTGCTTTTCTCTGACCAGGCCCAGGATAAAGAATACATTGATTTCATTCTGAGCCTTCATCCTCAGTCTTCTGTCAACGTCCGTGTATGCAGAGAGGCTGCTTACTACACTTTAGTGTTTAAGAACTGAGACCTGAGATTTCCTTAATCCAAATGCAAACCCTAATTCCCCAACTATCTCTGTGCCCTTGAGCCAAGTGTCAGACACCTTCACACCTGGGTTTTTTCAGCTATGAAAATATCCCTATGAAACAGATAAGTAAGAGGCCCTACCTCCTAGAGTCTTGAGTAATTATGTGAGTTATATATAAAGCACGTAAAGTGTCTAGCATATAGCAAGCTCCCCCACAAACAGTATTTATTGCTCACTCAACAAATGGAACTATCACTATTTACATGCATACTATCACCATCATTTAGATTTTACTCCCACCCCTGACATGAGTCTTGAGGTAACACTTGGGCTTCTTCTGTAGATCACTAAACATTACTGTTTAATCAAGATCTTATGAGTTAGAATGATGGAATATTACAACTTACCCAAAATGGCAGATTATAATACATGAACATCTGTATCCCATCACCGAGCTTAAGAAATAAAATAGCATAGAAAAGATATTCTCCTATGTGCCCTCCTGAAGCCATTCACACATTAAGAGCCCATGCATCGCCTGGCTAGCTCAGTCAGCAGAGCATATGACTCTTGTTCTCGGGATTGTGATTTCGAGGCCCTCGGTGGGTGTGGAGATTACTTTAAAAAATAAAATCTTTAAAAAGAAAAAAAAATGTCCATGATTAAAATGTTTTGAAAAGCCATGGCTTAAAGCGATAGAATTTTTCAAATCATTGAAATATACTTAAAATTTTTTGAATTTCTATCAGCCTTTCAAAAATGGAGTTGAAAAGATCATCGAACTGTCTGCGAATCTGTGGAATAAGAGAAAGAACAGATCAGGTTGTCCCTCCCAGGGGACCTGCATGAGCGCCCTAAGAGCTACCAGCATAGCTCCTGAATCGGTGTTTCTCAGATTTACTGTGCATACAAGTCACCGGGGAATCTCATTAAAATGATTCAGTCCTTCTGAGTGATGCCCCAGAGCCTGCATTTCTAACATGCTCCCAGGTGATGTTGATGCTCCACGATGGATGCTTTGAGTGGCAAGGCCCCAGCTGTTTCAATATACCGGAGTCAGTTCCTCATTCCGAGAAACTCCACACGGCCACTACAAGGACGTTCCTGAAGTGCAAGCATGATCATTTCACGTCCTTGCTTTGGTAGCTCACCATGCCTAGAGGACAACTGAGCATCTTGGCTTCAAATGGAAGCCCCTCAAAATCTAGGCCCACCATTATCTTTTCTGCCTCATCACCTTCACATATTACTTCACATGTAGCATTCCTTCTCATGAATATTCTTCTCCCCAAACTCCTTTTCATTGGCCAAAGCCCATGTCACCTGGGAAGCTTTCCCCAGCATGGCCAAGCTTATAGCCAACTGCACTGCAGAGTGCTTGCAAAGAGAGAGGACTTGGTTATCCTTGTGTTCCGGTTCTTAACACAAAGCAGCATGAGCTAAGCATCTGTGAGTAGAGGATGGAAGGAAGGAAGGAAGGAAGGAAGGAAGGAAGGAAGGAAGGAAGGAAGGAAGGAAAGGAGGGAAGAAGGAAAGGAAAGGATTCCATTACCCACCAACTAATCTATGACTTTTCCTCCAGTAGAATGCTGAGCCTTAGCAGCAATAGCAGGGTATGCTGGGGCATGCAGGGCATGTTGCCATGGTGAATAGAGAAATTAATTCCAGGTGCCATTTGGGTAGCTTTTAAGTCTGCCAGCTTATAACAACACCACATAATTCTATTTCTTTCCTGATAAAAGTTTACACTTGCTGTTACTTTCTCCTGGTAACAAAAGACTCATCAACAAACATGTTTAGATATTTGCTAACTTTGTGCAAAGCATCATACTAATGAGCTAGAACACAGAAGGAATATGACCATCTGCAAGGCAAACTACATCATGTTTTCTTATATCTTTAGTTATTTTGTCATACAGTTATTCTCATAATAGCCCTCAATTCACTAATTCTTCTTCCCTATACTCAAGCTCTGCCATGAACTGAATTCCCCATGGCCTTTTGATATCTTACCCCAAGAAGAACTTGAGTGCCAGAGTGAGGCATTGGCTAAGCCCACCCCACCACTCTACTATAAAGTCTGAAGAGCAATGCACATCACTCCACTTTTCAAAACTGAAGCCCAATTATTGAATAAGTAATCAACTGAATAGCTATGTGCTACTTGACATCATACCTGGAGGCAGTGTGCAGCAGGCTAAGCTGAGAACTCGCTAATTCAGACCCCTGCCTGCCAATGAAATGCATCTCTGCTTCCCACTGTGTCATAAGGGATTTCTGGCTTCCAGTTGAGGAGAGAATGC